AACCTTAAACCCGAAGCCCGAAACCCAAACCCCGAATCCTAAACCGTAAACCTCGACCCTCTCTCCTAAACTGTGAGCCGTACATCCCCAATCCTAACTCCTGCAACCTAAAACCTAAATCCCTAAACCCCAAACCCTAAACCCTAAACCCTAAACCCTAAATTAAGGGTTTAGGGTTTAGATCCCACCATCCCAGATGCCCGACGTCCCTGAGCCCTGAACCCCGTAATATAGAGGCCTAAATAGTTACTGATACTATTTTGGGGGCTCCTTGTTATAGTTATGGTATAGTATACCCTAGGGTTTAGGGTTTAGGGTTTAGGCCCCTATTCTAATTATTAAGGCCCCTACATTACCCCCCAAACCCCAAACCCTAAACCCTAAACCCTAAGTCCCAGATCATCCCGTCCAGGGCAACCTGGGCGCAACGACCCCGATCTACTGGGACGTCCCCGCGCTCAGTGTGGGAACGTCGCAGAAAAAATCCAAACAATGAGCAGTCTAGGTTCATCAGGGTTCTCATGAGGATTTTGTGGTGTCCTACAGTTTTTTTAGATTGTTTATTGGTGTTTTAACAGGCTTTAGAAGGCTGAAGACCAGGGAGTTCTAGAGTTCGGTGCGTCGTTGAAAGCTTCTATCGGTATTATAGCAGGCGCCTGAAGAATTTGCAACAGTACTCCCTAAACCCTAAACCCTAAACCCTAAACCCTAAACCCTAAACCCTAAACCCTGCACCCTAAACCGTTCTTTTCATGATGCCATCGTATAAAGACCCCCGCAAACCTCAGTCTAACGGTTCAGGCTCCCGCGCTACGTATGACTGGTTGAGAATTCCTAGGGTTTAGGGTTTAGGGTTTAGGGTTCAGGGTTTAGGGTTCAGGGTTTAGGGTTTAGGGTTGTAGGGTTTAGGGTTTAGGGTTTAGGGTTTAGGGTTGTAGGGTTTACTTAGAAAGTCTTGCTTGCCTACGTAGGTCTAGGTAGTAGTATTAGGGGTACCCCTTAAAGGGTACCCCTTCTGAACCCTACTTTTGGCTTTCTTAAAAGGGACCTTATTGAGAGGGTCTATATCCCCAAGGGTCCCCCTAATCCTAACTCCCAACTTAGTAAGTAGATATCAAGTAGAG